ATGGGATGGATGGGATGGATGGGATGGATGGGATGGATGGGATGGATGGGATGGATGGGATGGATGGGATGGATGGGATGGATGGATGGACTGAATGGTGGCCACCTGCCTTCCTTAGAGGGGGTCATTAGCTTGAAGAGAAGCTCTGGCCAGTTGGGATATAGGAAGATTAAAATATGAATATAGACATATTTTATATTCAAGAGATAAACTGTCTGAATTAAAAATCCCATATTAAAATAATTATCAATGGATTAAAATAAAAATTTCAGATACAAGAGATGGGGCAGCTTTTAAAAATGGGGCTGAATACTAGTTTAATTTTTATTGGCTTTTTGGGATATATTTTTACTCATTTATATCATTACAGATACTGTTAGATGGTAAAAAATATATTTGCCTTTTAGCCTGATTTAAAGTCGCAGAATTTACAGGGATTCTTATATTCTCTCTGAATTTGGTATTTTTGTCATGCTTACAAGAAGCCAAAACAACGGACTGGAAATGAAACGTTCAGTAAACCAAACAATGTCTTCTCTACATAATGAAAAAACAACGTTTTGAACCATGTTTTCACAGATAATGCCTGTTGGTTTGGTTACAACACAAGAGCTCTGGAAGCTAAAAAGTACTGAGAATGCATCCCCAAAGGGACTGGATTTGTCTCTATGCTTCCAGATAAATTTTGGAAAAGGCTAGAAGAGTTGACCAAAGCGGCCATCTCTCTCCCCTTAACATCAGACGTGGACGTCACCGTGGACACGCTCATAGACGGTGATCCCAGCGCTCGTGAGCCGCTCCACCCGGTTCCACACCAGCTCACCTTCATGCCCTGGATGTTCTTCAGCATGACATCCCCGATTCTTTGGTAATCTCCTTGCATGTGGGCATTTGAGCGGCCTTCCCTAAGAGAAAAGACAAAAAGTCGGAAATACAAAGCATTAGCAGTGAAGATGTAACCGGGAAGGGCCCTCGGCCCTGGAACACCAAATATCAATGTTTACGTCTTCCTTTCTGATTGCGTGTTAGCACTGGCAGTGCAGTGGTTAAGAGCTTGGATGTTAACCAAAAGGTTGGCAGTTCGAATCCACCAGCCACTCCTTGGAAACCTTAGGGGCAGTTCTACTCTGCCCTATAGGGTTATGAGTCGAAATCGACTCGATGGCAAGGGGTCTCTTTTTTTTTCCCCACCCCTCCCTGGAAGTCTTTTGTACTGCTCTGGGAATCAGAGAACGCTAGCCCTGGGAAGAGAGCTTGAAATCACCCCACTTATTCTCCAGACAAATAATTCCATTGAGCTTTAAATGAGACAAGGAAGAGCTACTCTCTGATCATTTTAATTTGGTCTCATTTTATATTAACCTTTTTTTTCTCCATTCACACTTGGGTGATTTTAGCATCATTATAACATCATGGAGATCCCCTGCTATGATTGGCTAATGAACATCTGATTCCTATACAGGGTCCCTGACAGAGTACTCTGATGAAGCAAGATTCACAGCCCCCAAATAAAGCCTTCTGCTTCCAAGAGTCCTTCCATTAAGCAAAGAGCTGTCTGGGTAGCCCCTGGGAGGAGAAAGAACTGTGAAAGTGCAGAAGGCCACTTTCTGGGGAAAATGGACAACGAAGAAGGTAGGATGTGTGTCTCAGGTACAAAGAGGTACAGGGAGGGGAGGGGCCGTGCTACATGCAGATGGGAAAGCTGTGGGTACTCTGCCATTTCTCACGGCTCATGCTTTTAGCTGATGTTGATAATCCAGGGGTTGAACCGCCTGAATGAAAAATAATAGCAGTAATGGTAGCAAATACTTACGGAGTACTTTCCATGCGCCAGACACCGTGCTGGAGCGCATTGTTATGGGTTGATTTGCGTCTCCCAAAAAGATATGTTCAAGCCCCAACCTCTGGTATTTCCAAATGTGAACTTACTTAGAAATAGTGTTTTTGCAGATGTAATGAGTTAACATGAGGTCATACTGGAATAGGGTGAGCCCTAATCCAACATGACCGGTGTGCTTACAAAAACAGCAACAGAGACACAGAAGACAGGGAAGATGGCCACATGACCATGGGGGCAGAGACTGGAGTGCGGCGTCGACAAGCCAAGGAATGCCGAGGAGTGCTGGCCGCTTCCAGAAGCTAGGGAGAGGTGGGAAGGATTCTCCCTGGACTCTCACAGGAAGACGGCCCTGCTGACAACACCTTGATTCTGGATTTCTGCTTCCAGAACTGTGAGAGAATACATCTCTGTTGTTTGAAGCTAGCCAGTTTGTGGTACTTTGTTAAGCAGTCCTACGACACTAATATACACATTATACGCATTAACTCAGAAGGAGACCTGGTAGCCCAACGGTTAAGGTCAGTGGTTTGAACCTACGAGCAGCCCCACGGGAAAAGACCTGGTGATCTGCTCCCGTAAAGATTACAGCCTAGATCTTAAAGCTTGTGAGCGACCGTTGAAGATACGTCTAGTGGTCCCACCTCATCTGGAGCAAGGGAGAACAAAGAAAACCGAAGACACAAGGGAAAGATGAGTCCAAATGACTAATGGACCACAACTACCACAGCCCACACCAGACTGAGTCCAGCACAACTAGATGGTGCCCGGCTACCACCACTGACTGTTCTGACAGGGATCACAACAGAGGGTCCCGGACAGAGCTGGAGAAAAATGGAGAACAAAATTCTAACTCACAAAAAAAGACCAGACTTACCGGCCTGACAGAGACTAGAGAAACCCTGAAAGTATGGCCCCCGGACACCCTTTTAGCTCAGTACCGAAGTCACTCCTGAGGTTCACCCTTCAGCCAAAGATTAGACAGGCCCATAAAACAAAATGAGACTAAATGGGCACACCAGCCCAGGGGCAAGAATGAGAAGGCAGGAGGGGACAAGAAAGCTGGTAATGGGAGCCCAGAGTCAAGAAGGGGAGAGTGTTGGCTACCAACATCACAAAACAATATGTGTGTTAATTGTTTAATGCAAAATTAATTTGCTCTGTAAACCTTCACCTAAAGCATAAAAAAAAAAAAAAATTTACAGTCTAGAAAACCCTGTGGGGCAGCTCTACTCTGTCCTACAGGGCTGCTGAGTCAGAATCGACTTGACGACACACGACAACAGCCTTCAAGGCAGAAGAGAGAGGTGCTCAGAGTGGAATAAACCAGGATTCACACCTCACAGATGCACTAGCTAACAGCCCTTCAGCAGCAGAGAGAATGATTTCCATCTCAGCTGCAGCAGCACCGAGCACTCAGCGTCTTCCCCGACCGAGGACTCAATCTCGCATTCTTCAAGGATCTGGTTCCAAGTAAGCATAGAGTATAAATGACGTTCAGAGGAGACTGAGCGCGCCCAGCCCCATCAAGTAATTAAAGTGTCTCTGAAATAAAAAAAGAGAGAGCATCAACTGTGCTCCAGCCCCTTGCTCTATGCGGCTGCCTTTCCATAACCTCTTCCACCCTGCAATAGAAATCCTCAATCCTTCCGCTGCTTCTTCGTTGTCAAATGCAACCTGTTGCCTACTGCCTTAATTACCACTCACTCCTCAGCTTATTAAAATATGGGGTCCATTCTCGTCTCTGTTGTTCTTGGGTGCTGTCAATTTTTGACTCATGGCAACCCTGTGCGACAGAGCAGAACTGTAATCTTTATGGGAGCAGACTGCTGGGTCTTTTATCCCGCAGAGCCACTGAGTGGGTTTGAATCACCAACCTTTCAGTTAGCAGCCGAGTGCTTAACCGATGCACTACCAGGGCTCCTTATTCTCCTCATTACTCCCCTGAAGCCCTGGTGGCACACTGGTTAAGAGCTTGGCTGCTAACCAAAAGGTTGGCAGTTCGAATTCACTAGCCACTCCTTGGAAACCCTATGGGGCAGTCCTACTCTGTCCCACAAGGTTGCTATGAGTCAGAATTGACTTGATGGCAATGGGTTTGGTTTTTTTGGTACTCCCCTGCCATGATTCTGCAGAAGGCTACCATTAACCTCTTAATCACCTAAACCACTGATCCAATACCACTTCTCATTCCAGCCGACCTCTCACAGGTGGCCAGTGTCACTGTCTCCAGACTGTCTTCTCTTCCGCTCAATTCTTCAGTCTGCTTTGCCAACGCCTCCCTGTCATGCCACTTTTAAGATGTCTGTGTCCTTCAGGAATCCATCAGTGGTTATCTTCTCTTCTCACTCAATACTTCTTGCTAGGCAATCCCGTCTGTTCCCCGTGGTTTCAATTTATGATGCCAAGTCTATCCCTAAATGTTCTTTGTAGCTAGGGACCCAGGTACTGTATTTCTTATACCTTCCAGAGGGCTCTGTATGAATCACCCCACAGGTATCTCAAACTCAAGATGTTTCAGAGTTAATTACCTTGTTTTCAAAACCCAATCTACCTCTAAAATATACAGAAAACTTCAACAACTCAGCAAAAATAAGACAAACAATCCAATTAAAAAAAGGGCAAAGGACGTGAACAGACACTCCATCAAAGAGGACATTCAGGCGGCCAACAAACACATGAGCAGATGCTCTTGCAGTGGTTAAGAGCTGGGCTGCTAACCAAAAGGCTGGCAGTTCAAATCCACTAGCTGCTCCTTGGAAACCCTATGGGGCAGTTCTACTCGATTCTGACTCATAGTGACCCCTACCATTTCCAAGGCTGTACTCTTTATGGGAACATACTGCCACATCTTTCCCCAGCAGAGTGGCTGGTGAGTTCAAACCACCGACCTTTTGGTTAGCCCTTGGATGACCAAAAAACCAAACCCCTTGCCCTCGAGTCAATTCCACTGTACGTAGGGTCGCTATGGGTCAGAACTGACTCTACGGCACCTAACAGCAACATGTATATACATGTTTGTATGTACTGCATATATATTCATAAAGCACATGGGGGCACAGTTAGGGATACTCCCTAGACATATCCAAACACCTCGTGGGATTGATTTACTGGGTTTGAAGATTCAGCACCCATAGTCTTGTGGGACAACTAGATCAACTGGCATAACTTAGTTCATAAAGATAATGTTCTACATCCTAGTTTGGTGATTAGCATCTAGGGTCTTAAAAGCTTGTGAGCGGCCATCTAAGATACAACTGTTGGTCTCCTCCTGTCTAGGGCAAAGGAGAGTGAAGGAAACTGAAGGCTCAAGAAAGAAATTAGTCCAGAGGACTAATGTCCCACTCAAACCACAGCCTCTTCTAGCCTGAGACCAGAAGAACTAGATGGTGCCCAGCTACCACCACCAACCATTCTGACCAGGGACACAATAGAAGATCCCGATTAGAATGGGAGAAAAATGTAGAACAAAACTGAAATCCATAAAGAAGACCAGACTTACTGGACTGATAGAAACTAGCGGAACCCCTGACACTCTCGCCCTAAGATAGCCTTTCTGCCTGGAATTGAAGGCACTCCCAGAGGTCACCTTTCAGCCAAATAATAGACTGACCTATAAAATAAACAACAACACCCATGAGGAATGTGCTTCTTTAAACAATTAACTATACGAGACCAAGTGGTCAACATTTACCTGCAAGCAAAGATGAGAAGGTGAGGAGGGGCAGGGAAACTGGATGGAAGGAAACAGGGCAGGTGGGGTGGAAATGGTGAGAGTGCCGATATATTGCGAGATCATAACCAATGTCAGAGAACAATTTATGAATGAATTGTTGAATGGGAATCTAATTTGCTGTGTAAACTTTCACCTAAAACACAATAAAATACTCCAAAAAAACCTCAATCCTCTTCCTACATTTTCTTTCTTAGTGATGTAACTCTTCCATCCTGTCTCCCAAGCTAGAAACCTCCACTTGTCCCTCCCCTCACCCATCCGATCAAATTCTCCCCCCGAATGGGGTGCCTGGGGAATGCTCAAGCATCTGACCTATACCCATGCCCTCCTTT